TGTTTTATCCAGTTTGTACACAACGATGGAGAAACTTAACAAGCAGCAGTGGTCCACTGAAGAGACCAGCTACCTACTGGGAATCTGGTCTTCCGAAGAGGTACATCGGCCATTGTTGTTGTTGTCGGTGTGAGCTGTGAGGGGTTTCCGTGCGGTTTGGCTTTATGAAGCAGGCACGCAAACGGTTACGTCATGACGCAAACGATGACGCAGAATCAGTCGGACTCTGGGCGGTGTGAAAAGAGCCGGAGTTAAACCGAAGAACCGGTTCTGAACCTGAAAAGCTCTAGCACGGAGCTTGAACCGGAGTTGCGTTGGTGTGAATGAGGTAATAGTCCAACCAAAGTAGGTCTAGCCAATACATTATTGATTCAAGGTTTTTTGCATTGGTTAGTGTAGCGGGTGGCTTAAGCACTCCAGCCACTTTACCTCTACATGCAGTGAAATACAGTTAATCCTGTTATTTAACGGTTTCATGGTGAGTTAAAAAGGGTGTGCTATCACTTGGAAAAATAAATAATATCTTGCATTACAGATGCTCACATGCTAAACTATTGTTAGCTTAACAGAGCTATTTGTTTTGCGTTATTAGATAAAAGGATCTAGGCTGTGTAAATTGAGATTTGGGACTATGAAAGATTTGCATAATGCTAATTAACTATAACATCTATCTCACTGTATTTTTCACTGTATTGCGATTGTTAACATTTAGTAGTTTGCCTGCCATTGAAAGTGCTTTTTTGTTCCATTGTGAATGTTTATAGTGCCCTATTTAGAGGATAGATTTACACAGCCAAAATTCAGAAACACAATTATTGTGGCGGACAGTAAACGCACATTACACAGCCTGTGTCTTTTTAATCTACCAATTATCCATCGATTTAAATAGAAAAACTTAATATAACTTGATTGAGATAAGAAAATCCATCACAGTGAATATAATTTCTGCTTTTTGCCCAAGCTACTTCATCATCATTAAAAATAGTTTATATTTTGATTATATAACTGTGAATAACAATCAAGATGGAACAGTTTATGTTACTGTAGGTGCAGCTATGAAACCTTTCCACTCCCAGAGGTCGATGCAGCTCTGCTTCTTTTATAAGTGAGGGGTGTTGGTTTGAGTCTGTGTGTAATTTCTGCCTTCATGCTAACCTCTGTGGTTCACTGATGTGAGGAACAACAACAAATCAAAGACCACGACTTCCACAGTCTCACCCCTTCATTTCCCTCCAGGCAAGCCAAACAAGCAAATTGCAATTGGATGGCAGCACAGTAAACATTATCGACGGCTGAGGTGAGTCAAGCAAAGTAAAACAATATAGTTATTGCTTTGTTGTTGAATTTCATTGCATTCTTTTAAAGAAAGCATAGACTCCTTTTAGTTTCAGGAACCTTTCAGGGTATTGTATAAGAGGAATTATAATTGGCTGTGCTTTGAGGACAGAACATTTAACAACTAGATGAGAAAGGTGAACCTTCAAACTACCTAAAAACACAGCCTTGACCTGCTCCTGTGATTTCAAATGCACTGGACGTGTGACTTGTTAACTTGCCTTTACTAAATCAACAACCCCCGCTCATTATGCTTCCTGAAAGCAGAAATAGGGAATAGGGAGCAAAAGAATATCATCTTCAACATTGTGGCTTTGACTCTGTGAATGAGCATGAATGTTTCCTTTTAGTCGAAAGGTGGGAGTGAGGACATTAAAAAAATGCTTTAATGAGAAAAATTATACCTTCTGTCATAGTCGCAACCATGCTTTTAAGAAAATGGCAGAGCCCCTTCAACATGTACTGTAGGCATTGTGTCATGTTCTATTGAAACTCCTTTGAGTGGATAGAGCTTTTTTGCTCTCTTTCGCACTATATGATGGGTATAAAATTGCGAAAATTACCACTTTGACTTTTAGGGATAATTCCCTCAATTACATTTTCTCTTTATGTTTTCAATAGCTGAAAAATACTATCAAAGGTTTAACACTGGAAAAGTCACAAAAAAACGAAAAATACCTATCTAAACAACGTTGGTCGAGAATGAGTTCTTAATCCAGTTTTTCTTTTGGGACTAAATGTCATTATTAGCTTAATCCTATTAAAATGTGACGTGGGATGGACATGAACACAAATCTATATATTTTTTAAAAGTGTCCTGAACTCGATACATCAGTAATGTAGGCCTATGTCTGAGTAAATGCACACGCTCGCCACACCCATTGTGAATAAAATGTATGCCCCCTCTGTTCAGATGCCAAGGTCCATGGACACGGTAACAGATGCTTTGTGGCTGCCTTTATGTCATCTCTACCTTCCTCTGCCATCACTCATTTTAGGTGAGAATATAGCTGATCACAGAGCACAGCTGTTGTCATTAGCCTGTATTTCTGTCTGTTATGTCTGGCGCTGCCGCAGCGGAACAGCTTGGTAATGACCATTGGTCAACATTGTATTTATGCATTGTATCCATTACATGGTTCTTCCACAGCAGACTGCCTAATACTTGTTTACCTATGCCCTGGTGACCTTAATGGCAGAAGGCAATATGTGCTTTGCTATCCAAGCTAGTTTACTAAGTTCTTAAATCCGTATTTTTAAGAATTAGATGTAATTTTTAAACAACTAATCTAAGTGGTTCATACTCGGGTAAATGAAAAAGTACTTTTGGTCGATATATCGTGCATGTTTTAAACAAATTGACCAAGCCCCTAAATAGCAGAGTGAAGAAATACAATCAGAGAGCGAGGCGTTCATGTCTCAAAGCAAAATAAAATGTCCAAGGCATAATGGCAACACATTGCCTCCCACGGTCGCAACAGAGCCTGAAGTGACGAAGTCTAATCCATTAGTCAATGGCCGTAAGGGAAAGTGATTCTGGCCAGAAGTCATAATAAAGATGCTGATGTATACTGTATGTGCACCCTTAACTTTATTTCACAGTACTTTGTCTGAAAGCAGATAACATAGTATTAGGAAATAAAATAAAAAAAACACATTTTTGTGCTCTTGTTTGTTTTGATGCACTTGAACAACACCTGTTGATCTTTCTAAAGGTTTTATCAACACTCTTATTAAACACAGAAGTGCTACAATATGCAGTATAAAAAACATGTTGCTAAATAGCTAAATGAACTAGAAACCTGACAGCTCTCAGAAGATACTGAAATGCTTTTATAAAAATAACAACAAATGGAGACTTGTCAACAGTATCAACACTGAAAGAGACAAAAGGAAATATACACTATACACATATCCCAAAAATATTAAGGCGGTTGAAATATTAAGTCAGACAACCAAGTTAACACTTCATAAGGTGCTTACATAACACATCCACATCAGGCTCATGAATACTTTACTTCACATCGATGAATAATATCAGCGTCATGACACACTTGCATGGAATGGAAGCGGCATAATAACACAGAGAAAATACAATTGGGCTAAATAATGCCTACAATTATATTTACATACTCAATGTCTATGAGTTAATGGAAAAATACCAACTAAAAGCTCTGCTATCAGTTTGCAAACTCATCTCAACACACAGTTCAAAGAGTATGCCTTTACTGCTTCTCAGTTATGGATATTTATGTGTATTTAATATGTATTTTGAGGTTCCTATGGATGATGTGAAAATGACCTAATTAACCTTGAAGAGCTCTTCCTTCTTTATTTTAAAACCTAGCATTGACTGTACTTGAAATACAAATGCTCATCCGTGAATATGCAATGAATCATCATGAGCCTGTTGGAATAAGTTAAATAAGCATCTTATAAAGAAAAAAGCGTTAATATTTACTCAAAAGATGTCATGATATACAAATTCACAGCCAGTAAGTCAGAGGATTCAGTTTCACATTCTCAAATGTTTACTCTAGCACGTTGATATTCGTCTGGTATGTAACTTTGATAATATACAAAAAGATTGAACAGCCTAGCAGTTGGAAATAAAAATTAAACCCCTCGGCAAGCAATAAGGCCCATCCGAACATCAATCTACTTTCCTGCATTTCATTGGATCAGACATTATGCAATATAATACACTGGAAGCAATATTGAAGCAAAGGAAAAAACACAGTCGTTAATAGCTTGAAATAAATACTTCCATACTTAAAAGCTGCCATAAAGAGATCAGAATATGTATTACATTCATACATCGGGCTCTCCTGCAGGGAAGAACAGTTGTCTCTATCTAAACAACAGGGGATAAAGTACAGCTGCATTCCCTTTAACATGTTAGAGATTAAGAATAGGCTTTCAATACCATATCCTGTAAGTGGATATTATTGTTTCCCAATGTTTTCACTTTGTAACAAAATAATAATAAATGGAACTACTGCTGTTTGTTAGAATTCCCAGACCGTGCAGAAATATTGTAAACATTTCAGCTTTTTCTACTTTGGTACTAAAGATGGTTCATGAAAGTGATGATTGAGACTTTCATTACAGCATGGAATATACTGCATCTTGCTAGCATGAAGTCTAGGAGATTCCATGCAATGAACACTGCGTTATGTGAGAAAGGGAACAATCAAACTGATTTATCTGTATCTTTTTAAATGCATGTAAAAGCTTTTTAAAAATGAGAAGAGTAGAAAAAACAGGCGGTGATGGTTAAAATGACAAATGTTCTGACAGGTTTTAAGTGGCTGTTCTTCAGCAACAAGTTATTCTGAATGAACAGCGCACCATTACATAAACCTGATTCATCCACTAATACTTATCCATTTACACAGCAAACATTTCAAATATATATATCTGTACATAGATTTGTATAATTAAATATATGCAGGGAGGGAAGAAACAAATTTTCTCTTTATATGAAGGGTCCAGATAGTTCCTCAAAAATATTGAGATTTCAGTAGACATATCTTCATTAGTTTCATATTACACAACAGGAAATCCACTGTCACAGGACTTGGCCATGCGATACCCAAAAACCTATAATCCATTGTAACATATATATTATTAATTTGCAATATATTTTCTCTTTAATAGATAAAAGTGTTTCCGCTGAATGCTTTACATAATATGACAAATTTAAAGACTCTTTATCCCATCTTCAACACAGTCAAAATAGATTGTGGTACACTTGAGTGAGTAGTTCATTATAATATGGAAGTATCCATTGATTCAATTGTCAGACGAGGTTCTTGTGTCATTTCTGCAATGTGTGGTCCATATTTAAAAACACCAAAAGAGGTTATGATTTCTGTTGGGATGAAACACCTTTCCAGTAGTCTAAAATATCATGCAGGTCCTCATCCTTTGCAAACTGGACTTTCTTACGCAGTGCATGGCCCGCCGCCATGTACTCCTCGTCTTTGTTCCGTTTCCGGTTGAATTTGAATTTTTCCCAGATGCTGTGTGAAGGCTTGCAGTAGTACTCGGGACTGGAGGAGTAGCTTAGATTGTGATACTGAGATGACAGCTGGGAATATGATAAGTCTCTGCTGCGGGAGTGAGTGAGGGGCTCCAACATGGAGGTCTTGTGGCCGTCAGGACCATCGAGTTCCTCTATCTGAGCGTCGGGGTAAGAGTGGCGGTGGTCACTGTACTGACGCATCTTCTCTGCCTCAGCCCTCAGGATGGCGGCAGCGGGGGTTACAGTGAGCAGGTTCTCTCCTGTTGGGGAGCTTTTCTCTATGTACTTGGATTCAGAGCGATAAGGCCTTGGGCTGCGCGAGGCCCCTCCTGTGGCGGTGCTGGGCCTCTTTGGCGAGACATCAGAAGTCCGATGCCTCTGCAGGGAGTGGTGATAGCTGTCTGTGTACGCTGGGGACAGAAGGCCAGCTTTATTCTGTGGGTGTTCTGATAACATCACAAGCTGGGGCTCTGCGTTGGACACTGCTCCAGACTTCCCTTGAAAAGAGGTGGATTCTGACTTGAGAGCATCTATACAGTTGTTAATAATCTGATTGACTTTATCCACCTCTTTTGCAATGGTGCAAATCTCTGCCACCGACCCCTGGCTATTCCCTGGCATTCCCATGTCACATTCCCTGCGTTCGTGGTGGTCCATGCTCCGCACCTCCATGTAATTTCCTTTCATCATTTTATGAGTATCACTCATCTCTTGAAACTTATACTGCTCCATTTCAGCAGCAGATGGTAAGTATGGCATACGTGCCATGTTCTCCCCGGCCAACAACTGCTTCTGCGACATTCGAGATATCGTCGCCCCCTCCAGCTCTTGCCCATATTTGAGCTCTATTATATTTTTCTTCAGGCTGCACGCTTTTTTGTGCTTTTCATCTTGCTGACGCTTTTTTCGCAAGCAAAAGTAGACCACACCCAGAAAAATGACCATGCTAAAGAGGCAGCCCAAAATCGTCATGATGTAATGAGTAGCAGTCGCATTGTTCACAGCTCTGTCCTTTCCATTCCAAGGGCCTGTAGTGATTGTCAGACAGGTGTGGTTGTGTCTGAGAGAATTGCGTATTGAAGCGACACAGTACGTGTAGTTAGTGTGGGGTTTTAGGTTTTTAAGGTCAATGTCCTCCTTTATATCTGTCAGGGTTTGAATATCTGTGAAAAAGCTGTTGTTGTACAGAACCAGAATGTACATCTTCTTGTAGGGGTGCGGAATCTGAACCGTGATGGTGGCACCTGTATTCGATACTTGCTTCAGTTTCATCACAGGGTTGACTTCCACGTCAGTGTAGGTTGTACTGATGGTAATGTCTTCTGGTTCTGTGCCTGAGGGGCAATCTTCCAGCCCACAGAGTGTCGAGTCCGGTGGGGGTGTCGTGGATTCAGTGGGCACGGCAAAGAAAGTTGTCGAATAGTCGTCATTACACACAGTGGTGAGCATGTGAAGCGCATTTCGATATGCTGGTTTGTTTGGATTCTGGCTCAATAAACTATAACCAGAGACGCCAGGTGGGGAGTCGCAGACCATCCGCTCATTTGTCCTGTTAGGGAAAACTGAGAGCCATTTGACTAAACCAAGTAATTCACAGGAGCAGTTGAATGGGTTGGTGTACAGCTCGCAGGTGGTCAGTTTATTCAAAGTGGTAAACGTAGACCCGTCTAACTGCTGGATTCTGTTCATAGAGAGGTCAATGTTCTCAATGTTGAGGCATTCCAAAAAGGCATTGGATGTCACAGTCTCAATCAGGTTTGCCTGGAGGTAGAGGTACTGCAGCTTTCCTAAACCCCTGAGGATCCCCTCTGTCAGGTTCCGCAACTTGTTGAAGCCCATTTGAAGGACTTGTAAGTTAAACTGAGCAGAAAAGGCCCCATCCTCTATGTAGGAGATGTCATTCTTCGTCATGTTCAGGTAGGTCAAGTTGGCAAAGCGACTAAGGGCAGAGTATTGGATACTTTTGATTTTGTTTTCATTCAGACGAAGGTCAACAATGGTGCTGTTGATATGCTGTGGGATGGCCTCATAAGGTGGTTGGTTTTGGCTACAAATCGCAAGCCAAACAAAGCCCTTCTCACCCTCAATCAGCCAGCAGTCTCCGCTGACTCTGCCAATATGAGTCATATATACAATGGCTACAGACCAAAAAAAGGCACTCATCACCATGCCTGAGCCGCAGGCCATTGGTGCTTCTCTGAGAGTCATGTGTAGGGACAAAACAATTTGATGAGGGTGATACTGTGGTGGTTTCAGTGCAGCTGAGAAGATCCTGTTGGAATATCAGCTGTATGTTTAGCTGTTCGCCGGGCCAGAAACATTCCTTTGAGATGTTTTCTCCTCATTGATGGATGCTATTGCCCCCATGTGCCAATCAGAAAAACAGGAGAACCCTTCCTTACACTGAATTCCTTTCATTGAGGTTTGCCTGCAGGAAACTTGTGTTGATGCTTAAAAGAGATTCTACTGCCTCGGGTTGGCTTGTGCTTTTCTCCTTAGAGGTTACCATCATTAAATGGTCTCATCTTATCATTTCTGCCACTGTCTTCCCTTCTGTGTCTCTTTCATGTGCATGGAGGAATAACCTGCAAAAGACAAGAACACATAGTTGATATTAATTACATTTTATCAAGATAATAAATGCACTTCTACAGCATATGTTATAAATGAAATGTTGCAGTCAAAGCATAGGATTCATGTTTACTGGATGCCCTTGTTGTTCATGTCCTACCAATTATTTTGTACATAATTTAAGAGGTGTTTGCAGTCCCTGTGGCAGAATGCAATTTAAGGAAACTGTTGGCCAATTACCACTTGACAGGTCGGGAGAAGCAGGGTCCCTGGTTTCACACCATTAACCCGAGGACTGTCAGACGCAACTGAGGAATTCCAATGTTTAGAAGCTGAATTAAATCAATTATACAAGACCGCATGAAAGGAAACTCGGATCAATGCATTTAGGGTTTTTCTCCGAAAACCATCATGCATAAATTAAATCCTTTTGAGCACTAATTCTCCAAGAGAAAAGAGAGAAATTGAGCACAAGGTGTGATTACTGGATCTTCCTAAATTAAATTAAGTTTTTTTGCAAATGGAGGAAAGCCACGGTTATAAAAATGCTCTTGCTCTTCCTATCTGCATAGGCCAGATAAAAAAAAGAAATCCCACAATGATATTTTCTGTTTTTGACGTTTCTTTTTAAATTTGTTTCTGAAAAACAAAACACAGTATAAGCAATCCTTAAAACACTTTGCTTTTCTTTTGTGAATACTTCATATGGTTTTGCATTTTGTGCAGTTTCATACGATAAGATAATACCAGGAAATCCACTCAGTGACATACATTTGACAGAATGGTAGTAAATCCTACCGTATTTTAACAATATCACAAGCATTAATCATTAATATCAGCTGCACAGGAATATCTATCAAAAGTTTCCTATCATATGCAAACATTAGCCACAATACGCATCTTGTCATACCAAACTGGCTGTTGTACTAAAGCCCCTGGGTGTATCAGGGTATGTTTATTTCATGTGTTCACCTTTAACAAAGTGTAGAGGTTATACTTATTTAAATGTAGATGTATTCAGTGCCCAAACATATTATATTACATCACTTATCAGTCATTATTGCAGCTTTAATTGCAGCATTTAATTTTCCAAAATATGTCATGCTGCTTGCTGCTCAGGTATGCAGTCATACTTAAAAGGCTGCAATCAACAGTAATAGTGTGAGTTTTGGAGCAATTTGTCAAATGGATTATTAAAATAATCCATTTGACAAATTGCAAGGGGAATTTATACACCGACGCAGGTTGACATTTATGAAGCAGATAAAAAGAAAACATATTGTTCAGGTAGTTACACAGATACTTCCGGGTAAACCCAGAACTATTTAGGATAAGTGTGTTCCACTCATAATTAACTGATGAAAGGCATTTAAAAATGTGTTTGAAAATGAGCACATTAACCCAGAGATATTGATATGTGTAGTAGTCTAATCTTCTGTTTTTGAAAGCAAGTTCTGCCTCAGACCCAGGTCAACATGAGTAGCCTTGTGGGGGGACACAAAGGGCAAGAAGGTGCTTTAGTGTGTTAGCGTACATGCCTTTCACAGCAGGGATAATGTTAGAATAGAATAAATGTGACAGTTTATGGCAGAGTAAATATTCTTCAAGTTGGAAAAACCCCACCTGCCATCATGGACCCAAATGCCATTCCCCGCTGTCATCTGACCTTTTTCTGAGTTAAGTTTATCAAATTACAATCACACCAGTGTTGTGTTTTTTCTCATACATCAAGCTGGGGATACAAGTCTTTGCACTGAAACGTTATTGATAATATTTCCTTTTTTATCCATTATCCTGGGAAGCCTAGACGGAGCCACTGTACCACCAAATAACAAATTCCTCTTATATGTGAATCTATAGCTAAAAGGTTTAGCCTTTTTGTGATTTATATTCCAGAAATTCCCTCTAGAAGAATAAGCTGGTATGTCTCTATTGCCAATTCAGAATGTCTGCCTTCCAGTTCCTTCTTTTTTGTTACCAAATGTGTTAAATGTTTTGCTATGTGCTATTTGTATTGAATTATCTCCGATATTTTGGCAGGTACTGTAACACAATGGAACAATTAGGCAGACCATGTCAATTAATATTAGTTATGTCCAACAACAGTTCACCGCAAGTTGTATTCAAATGCACATAAAAGCAAGCATAACAAAAATGAAGTGCCATTTTGCTGAAAAGAAAACCTTTTTTAATTGCAAATCTCCTCTGTTCACTCAATGTTATGAAATGATCTGCAATCGGGCTGAGATGACCAAGCGAAAAGCACCTGTCAGTGAAGTAAAGAGCAGATAAAGAGGATAGATAAATGCTGTGGTGGACACTGCAACAGAATGCTAAAGGCTGCTATTACAAAACCACCTTCACAACGACAAAAGAGCAGCAGCAGGAGAGCATTGAAGAAAAGAACACTCTGTGAGGAAAGAGGTTCCAAATCAAATGTTACATGAAATGAATATAAACAAATTCAGCAGAATATCTGTGTGCAAGGCAAAGGAGCTCTTAAGGAAAAACGGTGCCTCGTTATTATTCTTCAGTCTCTGACCTTTTATTGAAAATACCGAACGGAAGAGACTGAGCTCATCTGACCTGATCTCCACCCGCTCACAGCGTGGCACTGGTGCAAAAAAAACTTTCAGCGGCCAAATGGGAGTTTAAGTTAAACCTGAGAAGTCACCTCTCATTTACAATGCTTTGGCTGTGTTTTGTTTGTCCACAGTGACTCACTCTAGTGAGCCTCCAACTGATTCATCGCCCCAACACTGAAAGCCATGCATACATTAGAGCCGGGCTAGCACCCTGTGTTAGGGAAAACACAAATACACGCAAGAGTGCTTACAATAAAAAGGAGGAACTGTAGATTTTGCATGTGGAGTTTGAATTCAAACACTGTATCTTCCTCTCTTGTCCCAGTAGATTCAAAGCATATGAAAAAAAAAAAAAAAACGCCTGCGGTGTTGACTTGTAAACAAAGCAGAAGCTGCTTTAAAATACAGTTTTCCTGCTTTGCAAATCACATCTTATTGTGTATGCAGATCTTCAGATGAGCCTGAGGCATCCAGCAGGGTATGTTGCCTTAGCAGATCTTCTATTTGCCACCACAGACCCACTTTCCATAATGGCAGCAATCTGTATGGTCCAGTGTTAGCCCTGAGTGCAGCAGGCCAGAACACCCAAGGCATCAGAGCTGAGTATATTCCCCTATCAGACACAGGCAGCCATTCCACACTCTCTTTTCCATTTAGGCTTCATGCGGTGGGTAATGAAGGCTTTTCTTTTCCCTCTTCTGTGGATAACCTATTGAAACCCAGCTCTTGAAGAATGATTCAAACACTGCCTTGTACCTTTCTGTCGCGGTTGCTCGGGGCCTGCTCATACTTCACTTCTACTCAATAAATCATTGGTTCTCTCTTTGTTATTATGGAAAAAGTCTAGAAAACATCACAGAGGCTGATGTACATTTGGAGAACCAGAAGTCTATATTTCAATCTTGCAGCATGTACAGTGAAGCAAATTAATTTGAGGGAGAAGAACAAGACTTGAAGAGTCTTCCAATTAAAAATCACGCAAAAGTCTGAATCTTCATGGCCTTAAAGCAGAAGGTCAAAGTAGGTTTGTGCTAGTGACAAACTATATTTTGTGCTAGGTTGAATCACACTTTAAATGGAATCTATCAGCTGCTGTGCCTTTTCGTGTTATAGTCTTTAAACCTGAAGCAGAGGAGTGGTCCTCTCTCTCAAAGAAAGCCTCTTAAATACAGCTCCGTTACAACGGCCGGCGCTTCAAGACGAACTTTGACAGTATTTCCAGAACGGCACATCGAGAAACACATTCTACTGCGTCTCCCATCGCACAAACAGTTGTATATCCATTGCAAACCAACTAGACAGCACCTCCCCACACATCCCCACACATCCCTGGTTATTTCTGCCCTTCTGTTTGTCTGCGTGTCCGTCCAAACAATTTCACCATGCATACTAAATGAACATGTTTCTGTTCCGTCTCCAAAGTTCTACAGTAGCATGATATCAGAGGAACAGTTTGAATCCCTTTCTGCCCTTGCTTTCTATCTCGTTCTTTGTGATGGTGAAGGTGTCAGAATCTCAGGGGAACCTCTTCATCCATACCAATGACTGCCCTTTATTTGATGTCATTGAACAAGTGCATGCACTCCTTGCTTAGAAGAATGGAAACAAAGTAAAGATTTAAAGACAGAAGTGGTGAATCAATTGATTTTAAATGGAACTGCTTCTGTTGGGGAAGGAAAACATTGTGCTCATTGAGGTACTGAATTGCTTTGTTCAGAAGGAGAAAGAGGGCACATATGCTTGGGTTATATCAGAGGATATTAAACTCATACATTAATTACTCTGAGAAATATGCCTGGGAAATAATTGATGGTCTTCATTGAGTACCGTTTGCAAAAGGTTCAGCACTTTTTACAGCCACTCTGACATACTTGATGTGTCTTTTTCAGTAGGCAGGAGCTCAGTAAATGGAGTTTTAAGTTAATATAACCTAACTTCTGTGTGAGGAGTATTGTATGCCACCTTAATGCACTGCACTCATTTGTTTTCCAGACAATTATTCCTGCATGGCAATAGGAGTTGCTTCCTCATGAAGAAGCTTTCATCCAAGTATTTATCTTGATATGACACAGAGGCTGGAATAAAGTAATACATGTGGTGATAAGGTACTGTATTTGGACTTACATAATGTAGGTGATTTGAAAAAGATTTAAAAAAAACACAGATATTTGTACGTGTTATTTACAGCTTTTGCCTGATTCCTTACCATAAATGGGAACATTTCTCAGGATTACACTCAAATTGAAAGCAGCAACCAATTAGTTTTGTCCACCTTGGGGCAGCGAAAACAAACCAATATAATCAGTCGCTTATTTACACATCCAGCATAAGAAGTAATCAAGTTTAGTCGGGTTGAAACTTGAAATCTCCCCGCCACTGTACAGGATTACTAGTTTCTCTTTGTAAACAATGAGGGAAATTTGTGGATT